CCAGAGATTCCCCTGGCCACCAGCCCCTCCTGGCATCCCCGCCTTCCTGTGCTCCAAGCTCTGATGCCCTGAGCAAGGCAGCCACTCCCCAGCACCCCTCCTCACCTGACGCTGCAGATGAACTTCCGGAGTCTGGGTCGCAGCCCTCAGCCGGAGGTGGGGAGAAGACCTCGGGGAAGAGCGCGTTCCGCCGCTCCTCCGCCAGCTCCTGCTCCCGCCGCAGCACGCTCTCCACCTCCCTCTCCAGCAGCTCGGACGACTGGGACCTCTGCAGCCTCAACGACGGGCCCCCAGCCACCTCCCAGGCCCAGACACGGGGGGCCTCAGCCTGCTGCGACACGTCTGGGACCCGGAACCGCAGGGGACGAAGGCGGAAGTACTCCCTACGCACGGCACCCCTGTTGGCCTGCAGGGGTCCCTGGGGGGGCTTCCAGTGCTCCTGTGTTGTGTCCGAGGGTGTTCTGGAGGATTTGGAGATGTGCCTCTGAGACCACACGGCCTCTGGAGAGCCCACGACCTTGGCCTCATCTGCAGAAAGGCCACTGGGCTTGCCGTATGCACGGAAAGCTGGGGATCCCGGCTGGGGGGTCCTGGGGTTCAGGTACGGCTGGTAGGTCTCTGGCGGGATGCGGTTCACCTTCCTCACCTCTGGGGCAGGGTCGGCCGCACTGGCACCCGGGGCCAGATCGAGGATGGAGTCTGAGCTGAGGGCTCTCCGGAGCCCAGGCTGAGGAGCCCCGAAGACCTCGTCCGGCGTGGACGGCTGGCCTGGCCGCAGGCCCTTCCGCCGGTGGCCCTCCTCGCGCTGCATCTCCCGCGCCATGTCCCGCTGCACGTAGAGGTACGGACGGCCCCTCTCCCGCCGCGGGGTCTCGAGCAGGCTCACCTTGGTCAGCAGCGGCCTGCTGTGGACCTCCACCAGCTCCTCGTGGCCGGCCGCCCGCCGTAGGCCCCTCTGCTCTCGGAGTTCTGCCTCGCGCTCCCGGGCCCGCCGGATCTCCCGCTCGATGGGTGTCTCCTTGGGGAGCTCTGGGGACCCCGCTCCGGGCCGGGAACCAGGGTCGTCCACGGCCTGGCCCTTCTTCTCTACGATGACCATCTCCGTTCCCCGGGGCTTAGCTGGGATGATACACCCGTTGGCCAGGGGCGGCCTGTTCACGGCCTTGGGGGTCTGCCCGGCCCCACATGGGGCCTGCACACTCGCCTGCTCCAGGTTCAGGAACTGCTGCCTGGCTGCCAGGAAGCAGATCTGCTCGCCGTCGACCATGTTCTCCTCTAGGGGCGAGGGCTGAGGTCGGCCGGGGGTGCTGGGCTCCCCACGGTCATAGAGTGTGGCCACTGTGGCACTCTTCCTGACCGCCTGGCCCTGGATGACTGCCTGGCGCTCCTGCTCCAGGTCCCATGGCCGCCTGGGCTGCACATCCCCAGCGTCCAGGTGGCAGGCTTTTGCCCCCTCATGCTTGCTGACCTCTGTGCAGTGTGGCCGTGGGGTCAGCCGGCCAAGAGCAGAGGGCAGGCGTCCGGGCGCTCCCTTCTTCACCACATCCGGCTGGACCTCGCAGTCGGCGGCACCTGGTCCCGGCTTATCCAGGCCCCAGCCGCTGCCTGTGGGCCCCACGTCCACCAGCTGGAATGTGTAGCTGGTGTCACCATCGGCGGCCACGCGGGGCGAGTGGGGGATGCCGAAGATGGGGTATCTGGTCACTCGGTCCATGTTCTGGGGGGTCTTAGCGCACCACCAGCAACTAGGGTGCAGTTGCTCCGGTTGTGCTGAGGGAGGAGAAGAAAAACATGACAAGTGGGCCACAGCTTCCCCTCAAAGTGCCGGGTGGCCTCTGTGCTCGGCTCGGGTGGTGAGGGACCCGACCTGGCCAAGGACATGACGTCCCGACACGGCAATTAACACTGAAAACTGGACCTTCTTCCCAGGGGGCTTGTCAGGCTGGTCAGAAGAAGCTGGTGGATGCAGCTGGCTCAAGAGCAACCCCAGACCCAACAGAGCGCCCTGAGAACGGCGTCCAAGTGTGGGATCCGGTCACACATGGACCTCGCCCCACGGTGTCTGACCAGCACGGCGGTGAGCCCCCTGCTGCCCTGCTCCCACGCCGCCCTTCCTGCCTGGCTCACCGTGTCCAGACTGAAGCCGTCCCCAGGCAGCCCCACCAGGGCATGTGTCTCCTCTCCCAGGGCACACAGCCCGAGGTTCCTCCTGTGACCTCTTGCACCCAGCGTGTACAGATGGCCCCACTGCGGGGAAACCACAGCCCAGAGTGGAGCAGTGACCGGCAGAGACTCCAGTCTCCTGGCTCCCACATCCCGGACCTCTCCCCTGCACCCACCCCGTGGGACAGCTCGTCCCATCCCAGACAGCCTCCCTCCTCGGCGCCAGAAAGGCTAGGCAACATCTTGGACCTTGCCCTGCTGGGCAGGGTGCGGCCACAGAGTCTCTGGGTCACACCCTGACCCAGTGCCCCAGAGCCCCAGAGCCCCCACCCACGCCCGTGCTCGAGTTTCCACTGAGCACGGCTCCGGGAGCCTCCTCCCTGAAGATCCTGCACCTGCTCTCAAACCTCCACGGCTCCCAGCGCAGTTCTTCTGGCCTGCCCTGGGCACTCAAAGCTCCCATCTGGCCTCAGCACAAACCCCCAAACTCCTCAGGTGCCCAACTCCAAACCCAAACCCCCTCCCTCCTGCAGCTCCCTCTGCCTGGACCCTTCATGGTTTCAATAGCTGCAGCCCGCAGGACACCTCCTCCAGGGAGCCCCCTGGGCTGAGCCTGTCATCCAAGTATCTCCTGTGTGCCGGGCCCAGCACCCGAGTGTTAGGTATCGCCTTTTAACAGCTGAGGAAGGGAAGAGTGGCTGCTCAAATGGTCCTTGTCCTCGGCCTCAGACCCCCGTCCCAGCAGAGCTACCATGTATGTAGGTATACCGATCAGGCGCCTCCCTCAGCGGTCAGGGCTCCTGGCTCTTGGACTTGGGGGCCTGAGGCCCTGGGGGAAGGCTGAGGTCCCAGCAAGTCCAGGGATAGGGCCTCTGCTCCCCTGGGTGGGGGCTAGTAAGAAGCAGAGCTACCATAGGGGTGCAGAGCAGGGGGAGGCCCCCACCAGCCCGAGACCCCAGCTGGGCCCAGAGGGAGATGGGGTGGGGGTAGGGGTGGGGGGCCTCCCTGCATCCCGTGGGCCCCATAGGTGAGCAGACTGTGCCAACTGGCACATGAACCCCCAAGACAAAAACAGCCCCCACCCTGTGCAGGACCCGCACCCTGCCCAAGCTTTGTGCCCCTGCCGACTCTGCTCGCGCACCCTCAGCCTTACCTGTCGGCTCCCAGCCTCCTGCAGCCTCCCAGCCGGCTCTGACTCTGACGGGAGCCAGAGGCCCCCGGGTGACGCCCTGCCCGCAGGTTGCCAGGGCGCAGGGCCCCACCCTGGGGGAGCGGGTGCACCACCTCCCCCAGGCCCCACCCAGGCCTGGGACACAAAGTCCAGAGGAGGCAAGAGAAAGATGATGCCGGGCAGAGGGCGGGCACCATGCCCACGGTGCACTGCCCTCGGCCCCTGTGGCTCCAGCCTGTGGAGCCAGAACTCACCCTAACCCCTCCCTCTCTCCAGCTGCTGTCTGGCTCTCCCGCCATCTCTCAGCACCACTCAGAGAGGGGGTGTCACTTGCCCAGGGTCACACAGCAGGCCCATGAACCAGCTGGGGGATTCTTGGTTGGGGGGAGGGAGAGTGCAAGTTCCCAAGCCCACCTGAGCCACTGGCTCAGCCCACCCCACGGGGCTCCTCCCCCCAGAGAGGCCCCTTCTGGGGCAGCCCGGCTTGCTAGTCCTGGGGGCTTTCAGCCGGTCCTGGGTTCAAATCCACTTGACCTCTTTGAGCCCATTCCTTCATCTGTGAAACGGGGATGTCACACGACACAGCTTGGAAAATCCCCCTGTCCGCCTCTGCAGAGAGTACTGGACGGGGATGCCGAAAGCGCCAGAGATCACTGGTGGATGGGCAAGGCCCGGTCCATGGACAGACGGAGGAACTGCACCTTGAAATGGGCAGCGGGCCGTCCCGGGTGCCCAGGTGCATCCAGCCTGCTTGCTGGTCAAGGCACCAGGAACCTGCCAGGGCCGAGGGGCCATGGGGCCCCTCCGTCAGTCTCTTTGGAGGGGACATGGGACTGGGTTTGGTCTTGACCGGCCCCTGACTGTCCATGGGGCCCTTCTGAACCTTAGTATCTTCTTTCATCAAACGGGCTCCCAGCCTGCTCAGGATGGGAGGATTTAAGGACAGGTTGGGACAAAGGGCCCGGCCGAGAATTACAGCTTGGGCTTGCAACATGTGCCCAGACCACCAAAACCTGGGGTGCACGGCCTCGCTGTTCCCCGCCGACACCCCGAAAGGTCCCTTCATCCCTGTCCTGCAGATGTGGGAACCGAGTCACAGAAAGTTTCGCGTCCTGACAGAGGGTGGACAGTGTGACTTGACCCTGAGCCCCCCCCATCTCATGCACTGCACTTTATACTGCTTCAATGGGGAAACCAAGGCCCGAAGCAGCGAACTGCCCCAAGCTCACACTGTGAGGTGGAAGTGAAGAGGGCCACCCCCACAGACACGCCCTCTGCTGTGCCCCATCTGTTTCCCGGGGGCTGAGGGTATCTGTGGGGCCCCTTCTATCCGGGCAGGGCGGGGGCTGAGTCTCCCAGCCAAAGGCTGGGCAGGCGGGGCACAGAACACTAGGGCACCCAAGGGAAAGAGAAAGCCAGTCCTGCCCCCTCGCCTCCAGGCCTTACCTGCCCAGGGGCTGCTCAGGTGCACACAGACGCAGGAGGGGCCTCAGTGGCGCCCCCACCCGCCGCACTGGGGCGAGCTGAAGAGGTGCCCGGAGGACGGGGACGGGAGAAGCCTGCTCCGGGGGCCTCCCTTTATAACTCGGCAGCTCTGGCGGGCCCCACCCCTGGGCCTGGACGCGCCCTCCCCGCCCAGGTGAAATGCAAGAACTCCAGGCTCCAGGCTGCTCGCACTGTTTATTCGCTTCTCTGGAAAGGTCAGGAACGTGGGCCTCGTCACATAGAAAGCAGGGGGGCACAGGGGCACTGCAGCGAGGAGGGAGGGGTTCCCACAGCCAGGGTCACCTCAGAGGGGGCCTCTCCTCCCGCCAGGGGACAGGGCCGAGCCCCAGGGAAGGGGCCGAGAGGCGGCCTGGCGGCCCACAGCCCACCCATGAGAGGGTGCGAGGGGTGCACACAGATGCCCCTCGGCACACTGGGCGTCAGCCGCCCCCAGGAGGGGCCCCTCAGCCCTCACCCTCATGGCGGGGCAGGCTCACGGTGGGCTGGGCGGAAAGTGGGAGGGGTTCTCCTGCTGCAGCCCAAGGAAAGCTCCTGGCCGCGGGCTGTGTGCCCCCCACTTCCCGGGGTGTGCCCCGCCCAGCACAATGGTCTGATCCCTGGGGTACGGTGGGGACACCCAGGACCCTGGTCCAAGCAGGCTGAAGAAGGGGCCGGGGGCAGCCCCCAGGGTCCCCAAATTAGCACCAGGAGGAAGGGGGGCCAGAGGGGCGGGAGTCGGGACCAGAAGCGGCCCCCGAGGCCCTGCCTTGGGCAGGAGCGACTCAAAGACCCCCAGCCCGCCCCGCCCAGGAGACAGCAAAGGACCACCAACCTCGGCCGAGTGGGGGCCACGCCCCCTGGGCTTCCCCTCCCCAGGCTCCCTCACCCACCAGCCATGCCCCAGGAGAGCATAGGGGCAGGGACACGTCAGGCGTGGGGTGTCCAGGGGGGCTGCGCTCCACTCACAGACCCGGAGCCTAGTCTGTGGCCAGGGCCCCCCAGAGAGGCACGGCCTCACACCAGCCGCCTCGATGGGGAGCCTCACCTTTGGGGGCCAAGCGAGGGCCAAGCAGGCACCAGGGACCCCCCTGGCTCCCGGGACCCCTCTCCAGAGGGGATGGCAGGCTGTCCCCTCAGGGGCCTCATTGGAGGCGGCAGGAAGGCACAGGGGGTGGCGGGCCGGCCTGAGGCTATGTGCACCCCGGCCACCCCAGCCAGGGCCACTGTGGGCTGCAGCCACATCTGCGGAACTGCTGGGACACGGTGGGGGGTGTCCCTCATTCGGGAAGAGTGGGTCTGGGCATGTCTGTCTCCGACCAGGCATAGGCCCACACTCGGGGTGTGTCAGGGCGGTGGTGGGTGGGGGGGACCCCTGTCCCTCTCCTCTCAGTGACCATGTGGTAACATGACGTGTCCTGGGGCCTGTGATGGTGGGTGGAGGGTGGGCAGGCGCCAGGGGGCCGGGCTGGTGGGTGTCTGGTACGGAGGGCAGGGCCGGGGTCTGGGGGGCCGAGCGCCTCACATGATCGAGCAGCATTTACAGCGCTGTTTCTTCACATCGAGGTCCTGGGGGTCGCTGGAGGAAACCTCGGGCCCCACCTGGTTCTCTTCCCTGGATCCCACCGTGGCGGGGGGCTCCGCTGCATTGCCGTTGGGCGGGGCCGGCTCCTTGGGCTCAGCCACGTCCTCGATGACCAGCAGCTCCGCCGTGATGGTGTCCTGCAGCCCCAGCACCTTCTGGCTCTCAGCCTCGTCCTCCACGTTCTGGTAGCCCATGAAGATCATGGTGACCGGGGGCTCCTGGCCGGGCTGGATGCCCGGCGGGCCCGACGTGGCCTCACCCGGCTGTGCCTGCACTCCCGTGATCTCCCGCCTGGAAGGAGTGGTCCGCATGGCCTCCTCAGGCGCCCCCCGGGTCTCCGCTGCCCTGGCCGCGGACCCCGCCTCGCTCAGCGTGACCTCGTCTGCCTTGTGGATGAGTTCGTCCACCTCGGAGGAGCTCAGGGGTTGGATCCCGTTCTCCATTGTGCCATCCACGGCGTGGACCACTGGTGGGGGAAACAGAGAGAATGAGCTGGTTCCCAGAAAAGAGGGAAGGTCTGGCAAGGCTGTGAGCCCCACTCTGGGCTACAAAGGAAATCATAACCCTAAATGCCCATTGAGAACCAACTGAAGCTCTGTTTTGGGATCTGTGGACACAGCCAAATAGGTGTTCAGAGGAAAATGCATAAGCACAGAAGTGCTTGTTAGGAACCGAGAAAGACTGGAATGAATCGAATCAGGATCTTATTGTCTTGCATGCTGCAGCATTTCCATATTCCCTGCTAGGTGTGTTTATCTCCATTGCAAAGATGACGGAGTTCAGAGTAGGGACGTAACTAGCCCAACGTCACACAGCCAGCCAGGGCTGGGCTGTGCTCTCTCTTCCAGCCCAAGAGTGTTTCCCTTACGTGAGGAGTTGCAGAGGCCCTGATTTCCTTCTCCCTTGGGTTTATGTGGTTGATCTTGAATTAACATTTAGTCCATTCACCCAGTGTTTCCTATTTTATTAGAAATGCCCTGAAGGCTCTGCATTTTCCTCTGAGTCCTGCTTTGGCTGCATCCCCTGGATCAGATTATGTCATTCTGTGTCAAGGGTAAATAGTTCATAATATCCATTTTGACTGATTGCCTGCCTCAAAGCCAACACTTACTTACAAGGATGTCTCTAGATTTGGGGGAGTAGCGGACAGTGGCTCAGGAACACAGAGTGAGAGATAAGCTTTACGACAGTCCTGACAACTGCCTCTGCAGCCCAGGGCACGGTCAGTTTCTGAAACTGCTCAACCTGTGTTTGAAAAGAATGTGCATTCTCCATCGGGCAGAGGTTTATATGTGCAAGCAATCTGGTTAAATCGATTTTCCAAATCCAGCCGACTTCCCTTATCTGATCTGTGTCTCTCTGATCTGTCATTTTCTGAGCTGGTCGCAGTCTCTAAAGGCTGGAGTCCATCCCAGCAAACTCCTAGAAACACACATGCCTGGCTGCTGGGGGACGGGAAGGGGACACACCAGGCACCCTAGGGACATCCTCCTCCTGGGCCAAGGGTCGGGGCTCCAGATCCTGGCTCCTCACCAGAAGAAAAAAATCCTCTCCACTTTCAGTTTCCAAAACCCTGGGGAGTAGAGTCCATACTTCAAGGCCTTGGGCTGGAGACTTGGGATTGGGGGTGGTGCACCCAAGTCACACAGAATCCAGCCAAGTATTCCCCATTGTCCACTGCCCCAAGATAGGAATCGGAGCCCTTGGCTGCCATGGAAATGGATCACCTTCCCATTGCTAAGCAACCGGAGTCCAGTTGGACAGGTCCTGGATCCCCAGGGCTGGGCCAGGCTGCGCTGAGAGGCCAAGGTGAGGAGTTTCCGTGAACACAGGCATCTCCTCTGCCCCTTGGACCCATGAGGTCATTCTTGTCCCGGAGACTAGGCAGCTGGGACTTGCCCAGGGCCATGCAGTTGGAACCTGGGGCCGGGATTCCAACTGGGTCTATCCCCCCAAACCTAGGCAGAGCTGGGCTGCAACAGGGCCCCCCTGGACAGCATCCTCGATGCCTCAGAAGCCTGAACAACCTCTAAGAATGTGAAACTTTGGGAGTCAAAACCACAGTGAGATAGCATTTCACACCCACTAGGATGGCTATAATAACAATACCACCAAATAAAAGGACCATTACAAGTTTTGTTGAAGACATGGAACAATTGAGTCCCCATGCACTGCAGTGGGATGTGAAACGGGGCAGCCGATGTAGAAAACACCCCAGCGGGTCCTCAAAAAGTTAGACACAGGGTCCCCATGTGACCCTCCTGGGTATCACTTAAAAGAAATGAAAACATACGCCCAGACAAAACCTTGTTCAGCAGCACAAAACAAAATGGTCCGTCAACTGCCGACTAGATACACGAGAACACCATGCAGCCGCAAAAAGGAGTGATGCCCTAACATGCGCTACGCGTGGACAGGCCCTGACCACACGGTGCTCAGTGAGACGCCAGACACACAAGGCCACACAGTGTGCGACCCCATTTTTGTGAAATGTCCACAACAGGCGAATCCACAAAGAGTGGGCTTGTGGGTGTCGGGCTGGACAGGAGGTGTGGAGTCACCAGGGTCTCTATTTAGGGAAGAAAATGTTCCAGCAACAGAAAAGGCATGGTATATACACCATGGCGGATGTACCAAAACCCCCTGAACTATACCCTGAATTGTGTGGGTGTTCTGGATCCTTTCACCCCCAACACCATTTCTTGCAGGGGCAGCATTTTCGGACCCACTAATAGGCGAATATACTTTTTTAACGCCTTCTTAAAAGATACCTTGTTTACTAAAGTGCTGTTTCCTTTTTGCATCATCATAGCAAATAATGCCTAGAATGTCCTCTGCCCAGAGTATATGCACGCGATCCTGTGGACCATGCTGACAGAAAACACAAGGTTAAATCCAAAATGTTTATGAAACAGTCTAAATACTGATGGATGGCACAGTTTATTTGAAAGTTCTCCTTTAGTTAAAAAAAGAGAGTGAATTTTATGGTATGTGAATCATATTGAGAGAGAGAGAGGGAGGGAGGGAGGAGAGGAGAGGAGAGGCTGTCCCCCTCCCAGTAATCTCCCCCACCCTGTTCCCCTCCCAGCACCACAGGGAACCCTAAAAGCCAAATGGGATCTCAGCACCATGCCCCTGCTCACCCCACCAAGGCCTCACCCGGAGTCCCCTTCATTCCACATCAGCCCACCAGCTCCAGCAAACTCCTTCCTGCCTCAGGGCCTTTGCATGTACGGTGGCTTCTGCCGGTGCACCGTTTTCCCACTGCTGAGCCTCCAAGAACTCCTGCTGGCCTCCTGGGGAGCCTCCCCTGGCCCCGTGTCCACCCTGTTAGACCCTCCTGCAGCCCCCTCTGTGTCTCTGGGGATTTTGTCCCCTGTGTCACACCGTCTTATTTACATCATTCGTGAGCTGCCCCGGACAGAGCAGAGTCCCACATGGGACTCCCAGAGACCAGCCTGGCACCTGGTGCTCAGCCAGGCTCCAGGGCAGGTGCCTGGAGTGGACGAAGGGTGGGCTGCAGGTTCCGGACTGAAGGGCTTGGGAGCCAGCAGCGGGCAGCAGGGCACGAGCCCCGGGACCCAAACAGGACAGCGTCGTGTCCAATCAGGTTGTCTGATCTGGCTCAGGCCTGGGAAGGGGGCCAGGCAGGGTCGGGGCGGGGGTCGCGTACCTTTGGTCTCGTCCTCGTAGACCTTGATGCCCTGGGGGAGCGGCCCCCGGGGCAGTGAGGTGGTGCTGGCCAGCACCCGGGTCTCCCCGGTCACCTTGTCCTTCTCCACCGTGATCTCGACCGAATACATGGCTGGCACGAGAGGCGCGCGTTACACCACGACCGCCTGCCCACGTGCCCCAGGCGGCAGCCAAGCCAGGGATGGGGAGCCGGCAGCAAGAGCCAAGCAGCGGGGGTCCCTGGCCGCGGCCCCCACCCAGCGGCCCTCTGCGGCTCTGTGCTCAGCCCTGGATTCCCTGCTGGCCATCCCGCCCCATCTGCGAAGCTCAGGACGTCCGGCCCCCTCAGGGCAGCAGTCACCGGCCCAGCCTTGCCCACAGTCACCGCGGTGTGACCACTTGGCAGCAGGCTTTCTCCCCGCAGGGTCCCTGACCCCTGGCCCCTGGGCCCTGGAGTCTGTGCTCCACGCCTCTTCGTGGACTGTGAACTTAACCTCCCCTGCCTCAACAGGACTGAAGAATTTTCCCTCTTGAAATGAACGGATGTCTCCCAGCATCTTGCCCTGCCCTTTAGACCTCATTCCCACAAAACCCTGCAGGGAGACCACAGAGACCTCTCCCTGAAGTCCTGTATCCCACCCCTGCTCCCCCTGGGGTCCCTCCGAGGCCCCCAAAGCAGCATGTCTGAGACCCCCCCAGTCTGCCCCCTGCACCCGCCTCCCCTTGTTTTCCCATTTCTCACAGGGACAGAGTCGATTTTCTCTGTCTTCCGCCCCCTGTCTGTCCATCTGAAAGTCCTGGGGGGCCTCGCCTTCAGAACACCAGTAGCTGCCCGCTTCTCCCCAACTGCGCCCCTGGGCGGGACGGACATTCACCCCACCGCCCTCCCCCTGTCCCCTTCCCTGGGCCCTGACTCTCCCTCCTGCCCCCCACCGCCCTCCCCATCTCCCGCCTCCACCCTCTCCCCACCCCCAGCCCCCACTGACCCTCCTGGGCCAGGGTCCCCACCCTCTAACCCGACCCCTGCCCACTCCTCTCCATCCCCGTCTCCCCGCCCCCATCCCCCCCCACCCCGCACAGACCCCCCTGAACCAGCGGCCCCTCCGCGTGTGTTTCCCGGCACCGCCCACGTCCGTCCTCCCCGCGGCCGCCAGAGGGCGCGTGTGAGCCCCGGGCCCAAGTCCCTGCTGCGCCCGCGGCCTCCGGCCCCGCGTCCCGGGGGTCAAGGCCCACGACCTGCTCCCGCGCCCCGTCGGCTCCTCTCACCGAGCTCGTCCCACCCCATCAGCCCCTGGCTGCCCCTCCCGAACCAGGCCGGTGCTGCCCCTGGGCCTTGGCGCTGCCGTGCCCCTCCCCGGGGGGGGCCCTCCCCCAACACCTGTAGTTGGGTCCTTGGGCTCCCCAAGTCCTCGGATTAGAATCATATTAGAATCCTTGGGGTCCCCAAGTCCTCGGATTAGAATCGCCCCCGCCCAGCTCCCCACGCGCCACCTTGTCTTCTGAAGTTAATTGCATAGGGGCCACCCCATCAGCACGTTGGCCCCCCCAGGCTGCGACCCTCATGCCTGGCACACCCCAGGTGCTCAATAAGCGCTTGTCCAATTAACGAACGAATGTTATTTAATTCCATGTCAGTACACAGCCTAACACCCCCACCTCCAGACACAATTGGGCGGGTCGTGCACCACGCAAGGGAACAAGAGAGTCATCTGGCCTCTGCGCTGGCTGGGGAGGGCCTAACAGGCGTGGGGACCCCAGGGAGAAGTAAACCCTCACCTCTGCCTCCTGCCTGACCCCGAAGGGCCTCTGGCTGCCGTCTCCCTTCCCAATGTGCTCACAGCCTAGCCCGTGGCCCCCAGGGGGTCCTCACTGCCTCCTGGCTTCCGGCCTCCCCAGCTCGCTCCAGCCGCAGCGGCTGCAGTAACGTCAGCTGTCACGCCGCCAGGCCCCCTACAATCCCGCTGCCCCCAAAGGAGCCCCGTCAGCCTTGCTCTGCCCCTCCTGCTTCCTAGAAGCACAGAAATGCCCACGATGGCTCTGGGGGACAGGGAGGAAGAAGGCCTCCCAGGGGGCGCAGGCAGGTGTGTGTGAGCACGTGTGCCCCCCCCACTGGGCCCCAGGAGAGCCGCCAGGCGAAGGGCATGGGAGCCGTGGGATGTCGGGTTGGAGCCGCCATGCGAGGGCGCCGAGCTTCCAGGAAGCTGGGCCGCGTGTGATGGAGGTGCAAAGCAGAGGGGGCACCCAGGCCCCACCCAGGCTCAGAGCCACGGCCTCCATCAGCTGCCCCCCAAAGCCATGTCACCCCCACCCACCAGGCCCTCCAGGGCAGACGTGGCCCAGGATAGCAGCTGGATGCGGGGACCGACCCACCTGCCTTCATCACAGTGGAGCCTTCGACGGTCCTCAGTGGGGTGCTGGACACTCGTTTCTCTGTGGGTGAGGGGTGGAGAGGTGGGGGTCAGAGGAGAGAAGGTCATACAGCTCTCCCATATGCCCAGACACCTTCCCAGTTCGCTGGGCACCCCCCAACACTCATCCACATACCTGGACCTTACCCAAAAACACACATGCACCATACCCTTCCAACACATGTATGTGTACCCAGAACCTCCAAACACACACGGAATCCCTCTCCCTCCAAAAAACACACACCAGCCCCACAGCCCATTCCCATCTCTTAGCCCAAATGTTTTTCAAAAGATCCCTGAGAGACTGACATGGATTTTTTTTAATTATTAATTTTTAATTTCACAGTAAGACAGGGAGACACTCTCCTTATGAATAATTAACACAACAAATCAGGCCAAAGACACTTCCAGGCACCACCTCCAATCCCAGCCGGTGGCTCTCTCTCTGTGCCTTAGATATGGAACTAGACAGGTTAGACGAATGTTTTTAAAACATAATTTATATTAAATAACTTAAAACCCTTAATCCCTTAAAATAATGAATAAACTATTCCATTTATAGTCAAACGTACATATTTAAATGTCACATACATTTGTGAAATATTTGCAAACAAAAGCTGGGTGGCCAAGGCCTGGCACCCTCTCCCCCCAAAGGACGGGGTTCAAGACAAAGCCTCAGGACCAGGCTCCCAGCTCAGCCAGACACGGCCCTGCGAAGCTGTTGGCTCATCTGCGAGCAGGGGCATGGCACTACCTCCACCCCAGGGATGTTGTGGAAATTAAGAGACATGAGGATGAGGGGCCAGGCCTGAGATGAGTGACCAGAACGAGTCATTGCTGCTGTCACTGCTGTTTATCACCAATAGCTGCTACGTTCCAGCATCGCACCCCGCCAACACCGCCATCCCCACTCCTATCACCAGAGCACGCCCAGGCCCCTCTGTCCCTCCAGAAGCCTACCTTTGGGCGTGCCCACCAGGGTCTGAAAGAAAGAACGAGATGGGTCAGGGATGCCAGTGCCCCCCCTCCCACTGACCAGCAACCCCACCCGTGGGCTGGTCAGGAGAGGGTCCAGCTCAGCACCTGGCTCCCCCACCTCAAGTGCTGTCCCTTTTGGACCCATGCCTGACACCCAGATAATGGCCCTGCCCTGCTCAGAAGGGTTCCTGGGCTCCCCAATGCCAGTGCTCCCGGAACAAAGTTGGACCCTTGCTGATGCCCCCCAGGGTCCGTGTCAGCAGACCCCTGCCCACAGGCTTCTCCTCCCTCCCCATTGCTGGCTTGCCTCCTGGACTCCTTAGTGCTCCTTGAACAAACTCTTGTCCCAGAGCCTTTGTGTGCAGTGTCCCTCCACCTGGAAGGCCCCAGACGTCCACTTGGCTGGCTCCTCACTCATCTCCCTGACACCCAATCCAAAGGTGCCCCCCATCACACCATGGTCCTTCAACTTCCTGCATTATTTACCCAGTCAGGATGTGGACACCATGAGGGCAGGGACTGCGCCAGCACACAGTCCATACTCAGTCACCCTTAGTGGGAGCCTCCTCTCATCCTGGGTCCATGCCTGGAGAACTCCTACTCAACCCTCAAAACCTATCTCCTCCAGGAAACCCGCCCAGCCCACCCATGAATCAGATGTTCCCTTGGGGACTCTGTGGTGCCCTGGGCTTTCCCATCGTGTGCCCCACCATCTCGCTGTTTGTGGTTGCCTGCCTACCCAACATGACTCCATGAGGCCAGGGCCTCGGCCTGCACCCTCCCTCTCTGCACAAAACAAGGCCATGGCAAGCCGCAAGGGCAGGTCTGCTGGGCTCCAGACTGACAATATCAGAGGAGCCGTTGAGGAAGGATCTGGACGCACAGTGAAGATTTGGCCTTCCAAATGCTGGTAGTGCCCCATGTGCCTGCCCCAGTGTGAGATGCCCAGCTGTAACTCATCTGGGGTTGGGGAAACTAGCATGCACTTGGGAGAGGAGCTATGAGCCCCAAAGACAATGGCGGTTGGAGATGCCCGAATCTGCTGTGACATACTGCAGCGATCACGGTTCAGACATCAGACCCTAAAATCAATGGCTAAGTCCTATAAAGACCGCTCCTCAGCTGTGTTCTTGAGCCAGTGTCTCAGCCTCTCTGGGCCTCCATTTGTGTCTTCCACCAAATGGGGGAGAATGGCAGATGTGACAACCATAAAGTACCCAGTAAAAGTAATAATACAGACGCTATGTGTCAGCTCTCGTGTGCAGCACTTGCTCTCTGCTGAGTGGCGTGACCCTCTTGTCACCCTCAGCCTGTGGGTGCTCTTACGGAAGAGAAACGGAGGCCCAGAGAGGCGGAGCAACGTGTACCAGGTCACAGGCTGGGACGTGGCAGGCGGGGATTCAAATGCAAGCCCTGGCTGTAAAATCTGCTCCCCCACCAGCAGGCCATGGATGCGAAGGGCTCCCTAGGAAGCTCGGTGCCTCCTTACCTGCTGAGAACTCGGCAGCACCGCTGCCTTCTCGTCCTCCTTGGCAGGGCTCGGGGTCGGGGTGTGGGCTGGGGTGCGGGCCGGGCTCGGGGCCGCTGTGTCCTCCTTGGAGGTGGTCGGGAGTGCGTCTGCGTTCTCCAGAACCTCAATCTCCTTCTCCAGCCTGGGTGGGGGCAGGGGGTGACAGCCACGTGTGGGCGCTTCTGCACGCCCAGCCCCACCCAGGCTCGGCTGCTGGTTCTGGCATTCCTAACACCTTGGAGGTGTTTCTCCTCATGCCCTCTCGCGATAGGGGAAACTGCAGCACAGAGCAGCGAATGCACAGCCAGCAAGCAGCACAGCCCTGCCTGCCAGATCCCTGCACCGCTTGCTGCTTACATCTCTGTTTACTTCCAGCCCTATGTTCCACTCACATATGTTTACTTTTACAGGAAGTTTTATCTCTCTGGGGAAACTGGAAAACCTGTGTCACTTTCCAAGCATTAGCAGATAACAGGACACACAAACCCAGTGAAAACAGAACCGGATTTTAAATCTCATGCACACCATCACCTGCCTGACTGAGTACCAAGGGAAGGCTTGGGACAGACAGGGGATGTGTTGACAGCCTGGGGGAGTCAAGCCTGGAGGGCTTCCTGGAAGAGGTGTCCAGGTAGGTGCACCGAGCAGGCAAAATGCAGTGGGTTGCCCTGGGAAGGAGAAAGCCAAGGCCCCCAAAAGCACTGGAAGAATGCCGGACATACAGCAGTGCTCCAGCAAGGCCCCGCCCCATTCAGGTAATTGAGCTTGGCCGCCTCTACCCCCACTGCCCCAGGACTGCACCCAGCAGAGTGGGATGCAAAAAAGCCCATCTTGTCTAGCCCCCAGGAGCCAGTAATTCCCACTGACTCTGTCCTGAGGGCCCTTGACCCTCTGTTGGTCATTCCCAGCTGTGTCTCTCTGCCTGAGCCCCTAACTCTGGCCAGGCACACAGTTCACAGGTGGGGAAACTGAGGCCCAGGGGAACCCCCCCCTCAGCTGACCCTTTTCCCCCTTTCTTCCAAAGTAAAACACATCAGGGCAGGAACCCCGAGGCCCCCACGACGGGCCTGCCTCAGTCCCCCCACCTCTTGGGGCTTCCTTGGCCAAGGGGATATTTGGAATTTTGGCCGTCACTTCCCTCCGGCCTGACCCTGCCGCCCTGGAGCTGAGCCTGGGCCTCCTGCCTGCCCGGAAACTTCAGGCCTTTTGTCCCAACCCAGGAGGTGGAGAGGGATGGTCACTTTCCCTGCAGGCCCCCTCCCCCAGGCTTCCTGCAGGCCCAGCTGCAGGCCTCTGTGGCCTCCCTTAGGACCCAGGGGCACAGCTCGCCAGCTGGGCCAGCGCCAGAAGGCCCCCAGGGAGGCCTCAGAGACTCAGGAATCCGCCCTGACCCCGCACCCCTCACGCACCTGCCCTGCTAGACATCAGGAGAAGGAAGGGGCCGCAAGGGGCAGCCCACAGCAAAGGGTGGCCACACACGCCTACCTGCGGCCCCACCTGGGCGCAAACCAGGCTCATTCCTGCCGCACGCAGAGATGCCCAAGCCGCACCACCCACCTGGAGATGGACTCCTCCAGGACCCGGGCCTTCTGTTCGTCCTCTCGCATCTGCCTCCGCATGTCCCCGTCCCCCTCCGAGGCCGAGGATGGAGTCCCCTCCAACAGCCAGCGCTCCCGCAGCGCCTTGGACTGGGGAGTCAGGGATGGAGGTCAAAGTCCTTGGGGTTGGGGTCAGGGTCAGGGTCAGCTTGGCCCGCCCTCCCGCAGGGCCCTCCCCGTGGGCCACCCGGTGAGGCGGCCATGCCCGCCCACTACCTTCAGGTGCTGCAGCAGCCTCCGCTCGTCCTCTAGCTGGCGGCGCTTGCTTTCCATCTCCGCCTGCCTCCTCCGCTTCTCCTGCGGGCAATGGCAGGTCAGGACCAGGCCCCAGGCCAGAGGTGTCACCAGACCCTCCCCACTGGGCCACGTGGGTCCCACTTCCTCGCGAGGGCACCATTAGACCCCCACCTGCCCCCACCTGCCCCCCATCCCCCCAGCCTGTCCCCCGCCCTCCCCATCCCACCCCCCACCCGGTCCCCTCCCACTGGCACACCACAGAGGGGCAGGGAGGCACTCACTGCAATGACCTGGAGCCGCTCCTGCTGGGACGTGGTCTCTGCCACCAGGACCCTGGGGGGGTGCACACAGTCAAGCTGGGGGTCCACCCCCTGCTTTCAGCAGATCCTGTGTCCTCCGGCTGGGTGACCACAGCAGGCAATTTTGCTTCACCAACATTACCTTCTATAAAGTGGGGCCCTTCCCCACCTGCCCAGAGGTGGTGCTGTCCTTGCCATCCAGCCTTATTACCTCCTTCATTCTCTTAACAAACCTGCCACCTGCTCAGGCAGGGCCAAAGGACAGAATGGGTGAGGCCCTGCCTGGAGACCCAGGAAGGGTTTGGGGAGGAGAGGGCATTGAGGCTGGGCCGTGAAGGATGCATAGGAGTTCACCAGCAATCAAAGGCTGGAGAAGAGTGCTTTGGGAAGAGGTGTGTTGCTTCGGACCAGGCAAGCCCCCTCCTCACCCTCCCAAGCACCTATTCTCCAGCCCTACAAGGGGCACCAGCCCCACCTCCCAAACCTTGGTCTTGGCAAAGTCACTGATGCTCTCCTGAGACTTCTAGTTCCTCTCACAGTGGCCTCCCCTGGAGTTTCCCAGGAGCCCAGAAAGTTGCTGGGAGCCTCCCGAGGACACACAGCACAGTAGCAAAGCTGGAATTGAACCCAGCATCCCTTTCTCACCAGCTAGTGTTTTTTGAGAGCCCCCCAGCGTGGTTTTAGCCTTAAATGGTCTGCAGTAGAGGCCTGATATGTCAGCGCCGTCAGACACACTTGGAGGGACAGAGCTTTGTGCTGTCGGGTTACAGGCCTTCCGTGGGGGCGAACAGGAAGACACCCAGGCTATCATCCTTGCCCTCCCTCTGCTCTGCACCCCTCCACACCCAGCAGGCAAGGGAAGAGCTTTCAAAACCTGAACCCTCCCTTCCGTGGTCTTGCTGGGTCCCAGGAAGCTGCGCACAGTAGGTGCGGAGTAAAATGCTCAACCCTTGAAGCCTTAGCCTACAAGGGGCTGAATAATAATGTGACAATGCAGAGGGTCCTTCTGATTCTCTGTCCCAAATCCAAGATGATCCCAGGGTGACTTTGGGAGACCCAGTCTGCCCCACCCCTGTCTGCCCAAACCCCTTATCTTCACCGGGATTGAAATTACATACCATTATTTGGTTCTGTGGCCACCCCCAACACCAACACCCTGTGGCCCTGAATCAGGGCCCCGGAGCCACCCTGTGCCTCCAAAGAACCCTTTGCCCTTTCTGGGCCTCAGTTCTCCATCTGCACAAATGGGTGGACTGGACATCCCAGCTCTAAACCTTCCACCAAGCTCAGAAGGGAAACCGAGGCCCAAAGTCGTGCAGTGTGCTGCGTTCCCCACCCAGCAGCTGCTCCCGCTGCAGATCTATCTTGGGGCCTCAGTGCCCCAGCTGCCCGCCCCACTCAGGTTCAGTTTCCTGGCCTTGCACAGGCCTGAGAAGTCATCCGGCTCCCACGCCCCAGCCAGGTGACCCCACCCAGCTCTTCCCTTCCTGGTGGGCGGCACCTGCACCCCCCCCCCCCCACCATGACTCCCAGAAGCTCCACGGCAGCAGCCACACCCTGAAGCTTCCCTCTTTCCTTCCTCAGGGAGGTTGACTTCAGCAGGGTGGAGTTCAGGAAAGGCTTGATCCAGCTATCTGGCCAGGAGGCCCTTCCTGAAGGACCTGATCAGCCAGATTTCTGGGTCTACCCCATGCCTCTGTGCTCCCTGTGGCATGGACCCTCACTTCTTGCAAACCCCACACCCTCCCATCTGCCCAGCCCAGGCCTCTACCATCACCTGTCACCTCCCTGGCCCCTGACAGTCCCCTCTCCACCCCACAGCCAGAGGCAGTTCTCAAAACAGGCAGCAGAACCAGTCTTAGATCTCCCTGGCCCCACCGCCTCTCACTCACTCTGTTTTGGCCACCAAGACCTTCTGGCTGCACCTTGACAGCACCAAGCTCATTTCTCCCTCTGGGCCTTTGCACACCTCTTCCCTCTGCCTGGTATGCTCTTCCCATAGCAGGACACCAAAGCCCAGAGAGGGCAAATCACTTGCCCAAAGTCACACAGCTAGGAAGTGGCAGAGCTGGATTGCAACCACAACTCTCCGGCCACACAGCAGGCCGTCCCTTTTCACAGCTCGAATGTGGCCTCCAGGGACATACCCAGGAAGGAGGGGAGGGGCACATGGCAGATGAGACCCCAGTGCACACAGATCCACGTGGGGCAGAGGCACCAGCTGCCTATTGCCGGAACTCCACCCGGCCAGCAGTTTGCCATTCAGGCCGGACGCAGGGACAGCTGTGTGGCCAGCCTGCCAGGCCGGAGACAACAAGGCAGGCTGTGTCCTCTCTTGGGCAGCCTGTCCCTGCCGCCAGAGGCAGGGCAGGGGAAGGTCAGACAGGCATAGTGAAGGGAGGCACCGCCCAGGAGAATTCCCATCCCTCCCCGTCCAGGTCCCCATCACCTCCCTGGCCCCCGACAGTCCCCTCTCCACCCCACAGCCCAAGGGGCGCTCGCTGCGCGCTCCTCTCCTGCTCTGTTCTCCAGGCTTGGGGGCGCCGGAGCCGCCCCGCCCTGTCCCGGGCGCCGCAGCGAGGGTGATGGATGGCGGGGCCCGCGGGAGGCGGTCGTCCTGGCAACCGCGCCATCCCCATGACAACGCAGAGGCCCAGCTCGCGGGGGTGGGGCCGGCGCGGAGCATCTCCGCCCCCGGCCAGGCGCTCGGCGGGGTGAGTGGCTTCCCACCCCGGGCCTCCGGGGCTGCCCAGGGAGCGGGGCTTCAAGGGAGAACGGGGTCTTCCCCACCCCTGATGCTGGGGTGACTCCTCCGTTCTGGGTTCAGGGGCACCAGACCAGGGGAGCGGCTTCTGTCAGGGAGGGTCTGGCCTCGCCCCTGGCGCCAGGTGGCCAACGTCAAGCCGAGACTGCTCTGCGTCATGCATCCGAAAAACAAAGTACGACAGTAGGACCCTAACAACGTTCCTGGGCTCACCGCCTTCCGCCGCGGGTCTCAGCCCCACTTGACAAGAGGGGAAACTGAGGCTGCAGTGGGTGGTTCTGTGCACGACATTCGCCCACCGTCACCGTCCTGACCGTGCTGCGGGGCGGGGGGTGGCGGCGCCTGTTTCCTGGGCGGATGAAACGAACAGACTGAATGAATGGGCCTGGGACCGGGACCGGGACCCAGGCGGGAGCCCTCGGCAGCGCGCGGGGCGCAGCGTCTCCCCGAGGTCCGGCAGGGGGCGGTGCGGGGGCTGAGACGCCCCCTGCTGCTCCGTAAGGGGTGCAAAGGCCAGATCACAAAAGATCTTACGTGCTGGGCAGAGAAGGCTGGGTTTTGGCTAAAACGCCCCGGGAGGGTTCCGGCGCTGGCAGCCGCCGCCCGCGGGCTGTGTGACCCGAGGCAAGTCGCTCGCGTCTCTGAGCGTCCACCGGCTCCTCTTGGGCACCGCGCCACAGCCCGCAGCTGCTCGTGGGGGCGCGCGCCCTCCCCCCCGACGCCCACCCTCAGCTCAGACTCCCGTCCCTGCGCGATTATTTTTACGGCGCTTGGAGCAAATTCTAGGCTCGATTGGAAATGTAGGCGCTCGGGACTCGGCGAGGGCGTCGGCTGCGAGGCGTGAGATAATCCGAATCCAGGAATGAGCTAATGAGGCCCAAACCCCACGAGCCCCGCGGAGGCTTCAGCTTCGTCGGGCGTTTCTTTTTCAGAGGCCCAGAGAGGTTACGCAACAGACCCAAGGTCACCCAGGGGGCAGGACGGGCAGGTGGGAGGCGCGAGGCGGGTGGGGGCGTGGCCCTTGTCCTTCCAGGGCCGCCCGCCCCGGGCAGCTCCAGCCGGAATGAGGGGTCCCGGCCCAGGCAGGCGCACAGCCCAGAGCCCGGAACATTCCAGTGCTAATTGAAAGGAAACGGCTGACAACGGCCTTGGCCATGGGGCTGGGGGACAGTCACGGGGCTGGGAGGTGCGGTGGAAGAGGGAGCCCCGTGGCCCCTTCCCCCCACCGGGTGGGGGATGGAGGAGCGGCGATTCCAGCGGTGGTTCCAGGCGCAGCCTCTGTCTCTCTAAACCCCACTACCTTCCTCTCTCCAAACCCACCTCAGCCGCTAAGCCCCTCACCCTTCAGAGGCTCCCTGCCTTCTCCCTTCTCTCCTCTACCTCCAAGCTCAGCTCAAAGCACAGCCACCTCTTCCAGGAAGCCTTCCTGGGTCTCCTCCCCATATCAGGAAGGAATTCTGTTCCTCCCAGCCCCTTTGCACTCAGCATGGGTGGCCGCCAGGACCACTACCATCACCCATGAGGCATGCACGCTCCTTCTAAAAGGCTCAAGGCAGAGAGGCATCACCCCCATGGTGGAGTCACATCAGAGCAGGCCACAGACCCAGGGCAGTGAGCCTATTAACCTGGGCTGGGGAGGGGGAAGAGCCGGACCCTGCCCCAGGCCCTTAGGAAGAGCATTGCTCTGTGGATAGGGACGCTGGGCTGGGACCTTCTCCAGCTTCAGGTGAGCCGGGGTCTCCAGGCAAATCCGGCTGCAGAGACCAGCCCACAAGACCCGTGATCCCCCCCTTATTCCGCTCTAGCCACACACATGCCAGGCACGCCTCCACCCCACCCCAGGGCCTCTGCACTGGCTGTGGCCCCACCTAGTGCACCCCCGCAGCAGGGCCCCCATGACCTAACTCCCTCGGGCCTTTCCTCGGATGTAGCCTCCCCATTGAGGCCGCCTCTGGCCTCCCCAGTTAAGTTCTGCTCCAGTCCCCAGCATTCATCAACACACAGCACCCTTTCCATTTTGAGAGGAGGCCCCAAACAAGGGTCCCCGCCTCTTGTTACACTCTTGCCACCCCTGTGGACCACCAGTCCTGTGACCACTGCCTTTTTTTTTTTTTTTTAAGAATCTCATGTCATATCTTACACTTATTTGCAATAGGATCTGGGGCTCCTCACATCCCACAGACGGCCAGGGACCACCCACAACGACATCAGACGTGTCTGTACAAATTAGTGTACTGTATGCAACAACCCAAAGGCCACCAGCGGATGACTGGACACACACGTGTCCACCCACACACAGAGCATAACTCAGCCACAGAAAAGGAGTGGAGCCCTGCCACGCGCTTCACATGGACAGACCCTGAACACACGGCGCTCAGTGTTCGCCAGACACACAAGGCCCATGCGGCATGTGACCCCACGTCTGGGACACATCCACCATAGGCGAAGCCACGGACAGACTGTGGGTTTGTGGTTATCAGGGGCTGGGGAGAGGGTGGGGGTGACTGCTTATGGGGATGGGTTTTCTTTTGGGGACATGTTCTGAAACTAGAGGTAATGGTTGTACAATTCTGTGAATGTCCTGAAACCTACTGAATTGTGCACTTTAAATGGGTGGATTGTGTGGTGTGCAACTTATCTTAATAAAGCTAATAAAAACAAGTATATACATACATATGGCAGAAATCATAAGGGCCAAGCTGGAGCCAGAGCTGGGGGCCTGCCCACCCCATGGGGCATTGGAAGATTCTGCTGGCCCTGCCCTGGGGCTGTCTGTGGTCAGAAGAATTTGCACACAAACCAGCCAGGAATTCTTCTTGCTCCATGACAGGCGTTCCCAGAAGCCCACCACCAAGCACCTGCCCTCACTGAGCCCACCCTACCACTCTCCTTTGGTCCATCCAGCCTGCCCTCACTGGCCTTCCACAGGCCTGGCTGGGGACCCTCCTTCTGATCCCCAGCCCACCCCTGACCATGGGCTCTGATTCCCTGAATTCCTGCTTGAGACCCTTGGCCAGACAGACACCCTAGCTCCTCAGACACCAAGACCTCCACTCAGCCATCCCATGTGGCACAGAGACCCTTTAGCAGAATGACCAGGGCTCCTCCTAGCCTCCTGGCGCATCCAAGGACTGGGCCTTCTGCCCCTGTGGGCAGCTCGGATCACCACAAAGTTCTGAAGCTCACCCAGACACCGGGTCCTGCCCACCAGCTCACCCCCGGCTCCTCTCTTCAAGCTGCCTCCACAGCCCCTGTCCAGGCTGAGCCCTGAGCTGCTCCTCATCTGCTCAGACACCATCACAGCTCCCCATGGCTCCCCAGCTGAGCACCCCAAACCCGGCAGGACCCAAAAGAGTGCTCCCTTCTCCCAATGCTCTCCCCTCCAGGCCTTTGCATGGGCCAGTTTCCCCACCAGGTGCACCTTCTGCCTGCCTGGTTAAGCCCTTAAATATCTTTCACAGAAAAGCACCAGGATACCTTTCCCACACCTCAAAGACCCTCCATGGGCTTCCCCAGACCCTTTTCATTCCGCACTGGGCTAGGATGGTCAGCAGAGAGCATTTGTTAAATGGACAGATGCCAGGCTTCCTGGGTGGAGAAAGGATGCAAGGAAATAGTCCCAGGCTTGGAAAAGGATGATGTGATTTTTTTCAAAGAACATCAACCCACTTTCCAGAACCAAATTCTGACACCCTTGAGGATGGGTCTCACCATGGGGCTGTCGGTGATACAGGGTCCAAGTCCATACACCATACAGCACCCATCCTCCCACCCCAGTGCAGCTGGGTAGGCTCACATCCCCATTCACCAGATGTGAAAAGTGAGGCCCAGCGTAGTTGAGTAACATGCTTAGTGTCTCATGGGGAGTCGGGACTCCCCCTCTCTGTGCTCCACTCCCAAATCAGCAGTCACAAAGGGGGTCCCAGGGGGAAGATGCAGGGCATGTGCCCCAGGCACCCAACCACAGCCAGGCCACCTTCTATGTGGTCCAGTAGATCAACCAGAGAGAAAAGCTGATGTCATGAGATTCTCAAAGCTGATGTCAGAATTTGGAGGACCCCAGATCTAGCCGGTGGGACACAGGAAGGTACAAAGATCCCCTCTCACCCCTGACCCAGCAGCTAAGAGAGTCACCCAGGAGTGAATCCCACCTGTGTGGCCTCAGGTGTGTCATGTCACATCTCTGAGCCTCAGTTTCCCCACCTCCCAGGGCTGCTGTAAGGATCCAGTGAGTTCAGGCAGACAAAACGCTCAGAATAGGGCCAGGTACTGAGCAACGGCTCACTGAGTGATTGTTCAGTAAACAGATCGGGCGGTCTGCTTTGCTCAGACCCCTTCCTGCACTCTTGCTGCGCCTCCAGGATGGTCTTCCCTTCAAATCCACTCACTGTTTCAATCAAACCCCTTTGTTTTAGAAGAAAATATTGTATTTTTACCAATGAGAGAACCAGGAACCACTGCCACAAACATCAGAGTAAAAACATTTGAAAAAAATAGATACAATGAAAATAAAAGCATGTTATTAAATTCAATTATCACTAGATACTGTCGCCTCTTAACTGACTCTGCCTTTCATTATAAAGGGAGATTAGCAAGTGTGAAAGAGGCGTTAAAACCCTAGTTGCACCCAGTTCAGACTTTCTCCTTGAAAATGTCCAGGCCTGAGGACCAGGAAGGAATACGGGTAAGTCCTGCCTGACCCAGCTCTGCTCTCCTACCACCCCCAGGTCCCAACATTGCTCTCACCCAGGGCAGGGGTTTGGGCATCTCAGAATGGCTGTTCCAAGCTAAAATACCCTCATTTTACTAGCCAGACTCTGAGGTTCCCAGAGGGGCAGCGCCTCACCCAGGGTCACACAGCAAATCCCCCCAGAGCTGGATTCACACCCACCCGGCTCCAGAGGGGTGTGCCCCACCCCCACCCTTCCCAGGAGTGTCTTGTCATTGTGCCATCCCCCATCCTTGTCCCAACTCTGTAGCATCAGACCCCCTCGCCCCCAGGGAGTGAGTTACTGGCCAGTTTTCGCTAAATCCTTATATTCTTAAATTCACAAAAATTACTTTAACCCTTACATTAACAAAATTGTGACAAATTCTCAAATGTATTTTTAAAAGAAACTTTCCAGCACCACCATAAGCCACGACCATCTTCCATGAGCCTGATGGCAAAAATCCATGGACACGGAAGGAGGTGAGCAGTTCCGTTCTAGCATCTGTTGTCTCCATGCCTGGAGCCTGCTCCTGCCCTCTTGGAAGAGGAGGATGAACAAGAGGCTGCGCCAGATGGGGGCCTCTCCCCACCACCCATCGTCCACCCAAGCACCAGAACATAGACTTTCTCTCTTGGCTAGCAGGCTGGTGAACACCGAGTCCTGCCTGGCATCTGCATCCAGAGAGGCCAGTGATCACCTAAGAGGGGTCCTTGGCACCATAAGTGACCCATGAGCAAGAAGCCCCGGGGGAGGGGGCTGCAATGAGCACCCAGGGGCCTTCCTTGTGCTGTGTGACCCTGGGGCAGTGGCTGCCCCTCTCTGGGCCTCAGAATCACCACTGAGAATGAAAGAGGTGGCACGAAAGGAAACAATGGGACCCAGCCAGAACACCCCCTCACTCCTCTGCTCTGGGTGGGTGGGCATTCTCCTTGATTTTCAACCCACTCCCCCCAAGCAGCCCCCTCCCATGCCACACCCTGTCCAGGGCCTGCTGTCAGGAGGCCCAGAGGCCCCCTGGGCCCAGGGACCAGAGCAGATAAACAAACGGGGAATGAAGCGCAGACACGTCCAGGATCTGGCTCCCCTGAGCCCCTGGCTGGGCTCCCGGGGCTGGGTGGGGGAGCGGGCTGGGCCTTTGTTTGGGCTTTCAAAAGCAGAGGACATCGGGTGTCGCCTTCCTGGGAGGGCGTGGTGGGTCACGGGTGAATCCCTGGGGGAAAGTTGTCAGCTCGGAAAACACACCCAGGGGAAGGGGAGCCGGCACGGTGGGCTGGCTGGACCTCCGTGTCCCAGCCTCTGGCATGGATGGGGACTGGGCCCAACTTGGGGCAGCTGCTGGCCCCAGCCCAGGTGGGCCGGCTGCCGGGACCCTAGACACCCACTTCCCAGCCCCCAGCCCAGGTAAACACGTCTCCCAGCGCCCACCTGTGGGAGTGGGGGCGTGGGGATACTCTGGCTCCAGGAAGAGAGGCCTTGGTGTCTGACATGACCGTGTGTATGCACGCTCACCCGGCGGCACCTGTTTCGGCAAGAACCCTCCCCTGCTCCTCATTAACCCCACCCAGACCCACTCACCAAACCCATTTGCACCCCGGCGAGAGGACTCCTGCGTCCACCATTCAGGGCCTCATTGTAGGGACACGTTCCCTGGGAAGGGGTCAGAACCAAGCTCCCCTTGATGAAAGCACCTGGACCCCCCGTCTCACACACCTTCCAGACCCGGAAGCCCTGAATGAAGCCCCCCTCCCTCGGGCAGTACCTCCGGCCTTAGCAGGGGCCCAGGGCAGCACTTGGGGACTTGGGGAGGGCGGCCGGGCGGAGGCAGGGCTGGCCTGGCCGGCGCGCGTCCAGGGCGCAGCGAGCAGCGAGCTGAGGGTGCGGGTGGCGGCCGAGCTAAGGGCCGGTCCGGTGCAACGGGGAGGGGCCGCTCCGTCACCCCCGGGCGCAGGCTGGGGGCGCCACAGGTGGCCGAGGGCCGTGGCTAAGCCCAGGGGGGCGCGGGCGGAGACACGGGCCGCCCCCCGCCGCCGCCTCCGAGTCCCCGTGAGCCGTGGGCCGCCGGGGTCGGGCAGGCGGGAGGCCGCAGGGCGGGGGCGGCCCGGCCCGATCCCTCGGCGGCTGGGCTGGGGTCCAGGAAGCCCGTCGCCCCCTGCCTCTCCGCGCGGCCACGGCGACGCCCCGCGTGGGGAATGCACCCCCCTCCCGCGGCCCCCGCGGCCCCCGCGCGCCCACTCACTCCATGTCCCCGCCGAGGTCCGGGCGGGGCGGCGGTGCTGGGCGGACGCGGGCGGCGGGGACGGCGGGGCCCTGCAGCTAAGGCCGCGCGGGCGGCGGCACCGGCTCGGGCATCGCCCCGCGCTCTGCTGTTTATTGTCCGGGCGGCGGCGGCGCGGGGGGTGGGCTGGGCGCGCGCGTCTCCGCCGCCGCCACCGCGCTCCTCGCTCGCGTCCCCGCCCCGCGCCGCCGCCCCGCGTGCGCCTCCTGCCGGCCGCCGCCGCGGGTGCCCGGCAGCGCGCGCGCCCCGCCGCCCGGGCCCGGAGGGCGCGCCCCGGAGGCGGGGGTGCGCGGGGTCCCGCCCGCCGCGGCTCCTGATCCAGAGCGAGGGCGCACGGGGACGGGCAGCCCGGGCGAAGGACGGGTGGGACCGCGGGGAGGGGGTCCGGGAGGGGCAGGTCGCGGGACTACGTGGAGGGGAGCCCCCCGGGGTGCGGGGCCCAGAGCGCCGGCCCGAGCCGGGCCTGTCTGGGGAGCAGTAACAGCCCCGCGGCCGCCGCTGATGCTGCCCGGCGCTTGCTGTGCCCGCGGCTGGTCCCGCGGAGCTGGGTGCACAGCCCGCGCCGCACACCTGCAGACCCGGGTGGCCCGAGCGGGCAGGGAGCGCCCCGCCGTTGCCCTGAGGGCCCTGGGGGGGCCACTGCAGAGCTCAGAGCGGCAGAGGGACCAACACTCGTTTTTGTGAAGGCCTCTTCAGCTGCCAGGTGTGGAGGACAGGCGTGAGGCCGAACCGGACCCCAGATCTGGGCTGAGGCTGCACCAGATTGAGATGGTTGGGTTCTGGATGGTTTTTGAAGGGGCAGCCTTTGAACGGGGCGTAGGATGACAGCCATCGGGGTGCCCCTCTCCAGCCTGAGGCCCTGGAAGGACACACTGACATCCACAGGGTTGGGGAGTGACAAGGGGTGACACTGTGTGGGTAGCCAGGCACTCAGGTTGGAGTTCAGAGCAAAGCCCCACCTGGGGTCCAGGCTAGGGTTCCCCTTGACTCCCCACGGTCTACCTTGAGTCCTTCATGCTGCACATATCACCTTGTGGCTCCCACTTGCCTGCCAACGTGCAGATAATGGACCCCACCTCCTGGGTTCCTATAAGAACGCGAGTCACTGGCCCCTAGCTAGCCCTCCGGGGTCTGGGGGTTGGCAGGAGAGGGGGATCCTTCCAGGTACCTTGGTTTTCCTGTACAGTGGCTGTACTCAGCAGGTGCTGCACACCTAGCTGTGTGTGTAAGGGGAGAGCTGTGTGAAGCTCTGCATGCTGCCCACATTGGGGGTGGCACTGTCGTCTCCTTTATGACCCGCCACACCCTGTCTTTACCAGGAACGCGCATTCATTTAGCACTAAAATGTGAGACCAATCAGCAAGCACAGAACAAGCAAAAAGACCCTGAGAAACATCGCACCCAGATTCGGTGCCAGCTCAGCTCCGTACATGCTGTGTGACCCTGGGTCTGCTTCTGAACTTCTCTGGGCCTCACTTCCCCTCCTCCCAGGGTTGTCGGGAAGTTTCACAGAGAGCGTAAACACAAAGGGCTTGGGAACAGGGCCCAGCACATACTAGCTCAGGGTTTGGCAAACCTTTTCAGTAAAAGGCCAGGGAGTAAATATTTTCGGCATTGCAAACCAGATGGTCTGTGTCTCAACGACTCGGCTCTGCCATAGCAGTGAGAAATCAGCCAGAGGCATAAGGAAACTGCATCCTTGTGGCTGTGTGCCAATAAAACTTTATTTACAAAACAGGCACTGGGCCAGATTTGACCCCCTGCCACTATGCTAGGCGCTCAGCAAAAGCGAGCTGCGAGCGGTTCTGTGTCCATTCAGTTCAAAAAGATTTGTTGAGCACCTACTGTGTGCTTGGCACTGCTAGGAGGAGGAGGGGTGGTGATGGAGAGGGGCTGCTGGGGGCATTTCTGTCCATCCCCATACATCATGTGCATCCTCCTTGTCCAGCCCAAACTCCCCAGGGCAGCTCAAACACCAAAGTCCTCCACTAGGCTCTCAAGCTGTGCATGAGGATCCCAACACCCACACTCCAGGCAGGCTTCCAGGGAGCCAGTCTTCAGGTGGCACCAGGCAGAGAGGGGGTTGGGCATCCCAGTGGCAGCAGGTACAGCCTCAGCCAAGTTGTGGAGGGGAGACGGGCAATGCATAACTGGCCAGGGCATTGGGCTTCAGCTGGCCTTCTGCTGCCCGGGGAGGCATCCACACCACCCACTGCCCCTCCTATCTGCTCAAGGGGCTGGAGCCCTGCCCCCTCCTTGGCTGCCACCCCAGGGCCCTGTCCTGACCCCCGCCCCTGCTCTGAGCCCACCTTGCAGCTCTAGCCACCCCTGGATATCCTCTGGGGTCCACGGACTCCAGGGGCACCTCACTGTGGGCTCCCATGGGCCCCAGACCCACTCCTCCCCTGTCCCTGAGTCACAGAACACCCACGTGCCCCCAGCTCAGGCTCTGTGTCCCCCAGCCACCCCTCAGCCTCCCAGGCCTCCCACCTGCCCCGACTCAAGCGCCTCCGGTGGCTCCCCAGTGCCCGGCAGCTGGGCCCTTGAGGAGCCCTTCTTGCCCCAACCCCACACCCAGCGTGGGCCCCCCAGACACACTGCGCCTCCTGCAGGAACACCTGCCCGGCTGTCCCCTGGTGGGGTTTCCCTGCCCTCTCCTCCGCATGCCTGCCCCCTGCCTATCCTCAGATTGCTTCGCCCATAGCTCCTTTCCCACCCACTCTCCTGGTGGACAGTGCCACCTACCCACACGTTATTTCTGCATCCACGGGGCAGAAATGTGTCCCTGCCATACAGGGTCAGCATACAGCAGGCGCCCAGTATCCACACATGGGATGAATGGTTTCACATCTCCACTGTTTTCATTATTTTATTATTGAAATACCATTGATATACAATCTTATATTGGTTTCAAGTATACACACAACACAGTGGTTCAACAGTTATCCACATCATTAAATTCTCACCCCTACTAGTGCAGTTATTGTCTACATAGAAGATGTTACAGAATCACTGGCTGTATTCTCCATGCTGTACTACCAACCCCGTGACCACGCTACATTATGATTGAGAATTTTTGTGCCCCTTTATCCCCTCTCCCCCCTCCCCCCTCCCAGCCCCTCCCCCATGGGAACCAGCAGTCCCTTCTCAGTGTCTGTGGGTCTGCTGCTGTTTTGTTCCTTCTGTTTTGCTTTGTTGTTATACTCCACAAATAAATGAAATCATATGGTATTTGTCTTTCTCTGCCTGGCTTATTTCACTGAGCATAATACCCTCTGGGTCCATCCATGTTGTCACCAATGGCAGAACTTTTTTTTCTTTCTTATGGCTGAATAATATTCCATTGTGTATATGCACCACATCTTCTTTATCCATTCATCTACTGATGGACACTTAGGTTGCTTCCATATCTTGGATATTGTAAATAGTGGTGCGGTAAACATAGGGGTGCACATATCTTTTCGAATCAGTGATTTTGTTTTCTTTGGGTAAATTCCTAGGAGTGGTTACTGGGTCAAATTATATTTCTACTTTTAGATTTTGAGGAACCTCTGTACTGCTTTCCACAGTGGCTGTACCCATTTCCAGCCCCACCAGCAGTGCAGGAGGCTCCCTTCTCTCCACTGTCTTCATGGACTCTCCCCATGGAAGGGCAGTGCTAGTGTCAAGGGTACAGGTGAGCAAACAGCGGGGCCCCCAGGATACCCACCCCTTGCTGACATCTGCCCTGGATGCCCACAGATGCCCCGGGGCCACCTGTCCCCCAGAGGGGGAGATGGGCGCAGAGAACTGTGGACCCCAACAGTGGCCAAGCTGCATCCCCAAGTACTCTTGCCGGGCAGGAACCCCAGAGGCGATGGAGGTGGTGATCCAGCCTCACTTACCCATGGGTGGGGCGGCCTGCCCTGGGGTCCCCACACATCCCTTGCTGGCTCTCTGCCAAGCCCGGGTCTGGGTCGGACCGCATCTGTCTGGGCCCTACATGAGCAGGACCTGTATTCCATCCAGGTTGCTGGGCTGGCTGTTTATTCTTGAGGCAGCCACCTCTCGTTTCAGGAAATAAGCAACAATGTCCTGGGAACGGGCATTGAATGGGATTAAAAAATGAGGCCTGGTTTTAAGGAAAGGGTCAAAGGCTGTGCCTGCCCTAAGCACCTTCCCATGCCTTGACTGTTGCTACCAACCCTGTGCACAGATGGGGAAAAATAGGCACACAGGGGCCAAGGGTCACAGAGAGGGGCTCAGAAGGGTGGGCTCAGGGTCCCTGGCTCCCACACTGAGTCCAGGGGTTTCTGAGAGGATTTTGAGCTTTTCTCAGATTTTCAGAGTTTCCTGACCCCCTCCCCCCCACCCCCACACACCTCTCCTTCATGCCTGGAATTCTCCTGCTGCTCTGGTGTGAGGAAGGCGCCATGTACCGACCAAACACTGACCGCCCACCCTGCTCCAGGGCGGGTGCTGAACACGCCGTGTGACTCCCTCTGGGCTGGGCCGCGGGCGCCAACTGCATGCTGCCTCTGGGCTGGATCCAGTGGGACCTGGGTAGACATCTCTGGGACCTGCAGCTTCTGCACCAGCAACTCCTGACCGGCAGTCGCTCCACAAGCACCTATCGAGGGGTGAGCAAGACACTCAGCACCTCTCACAAGCTGTGACCCCCAAGAACATCCACGGCTTCCCTGTGCTGCAGTTTCTTTAGCTGCCAGGAGGGGGGATTTCCTCCCTTGTAAGGGAGGAAATGCGTGCCGGTACAAGGGTCAGGGAATCAATGTCAGTAATGAGGGGAATCGCCTTGATTGTCCTGCCATTGCAACCTGCATCAGAACGGAGGGGCGCTGAGCCAGCCTGGGGCCTGGGCTTACCCCTTTCTCACTCCCACTTGGTCTCCTGCACCCCCAGGGCCAGCCCCTTGGGAACCGTTGGTGCTGTAACCCTGCATTTCACAAGCCCCCAGAAGGGGCCGGGAAGGGGCGAGCCGGATGCACGAGGGACCATATCCCAGAGGGAAGGGACTCCGGAGCACCCCCTGCCCCACTTCATAACCCTGAACCACAGGCCCAGCCCACATCAGGCCCTACGGGGATCAGCATGCTGGGAGCCATGACCCCTGCTATCCTTCTGGCCTGCGCCATGGTCCTGGGAGCCCCAGCCCTTGCAGGTAAGGGGGATAGGGACCATTTGGGGGTGTGATGGAGCCACCCAGCTCTGGCCAGTTCAGCCTCAGGTACTGTCTCCAGACCATCAGAATCCAAACGCACTCCCAGGGAGGCTACGTCCTCTGTACCTGAAAGTTGTTCACTCATGCTACCATGAGTCAATCTCCTCAATATATAAAGAGCTCTAACAAATCAATAACAAAAGCAAAGGGGGTTACTATTATTATCATCCTTGTCATCACCATTACAGCTGTTGAGTCTGCCCTGACTGGGGAAGCCACCCAAATCCTCCATGGAAAGGCCCTTCAGGGACTACAGGCCAGGAGTTCTGGGCTCAAGACCCTCTGCTGAGCAGCCCCAGATGAGTCAGGCTGCCTTCTTTAGGCCTCAGTTTGGGGAATGGAAACACTGGCCCCCACCTGGCCCACTCCTCGGGGCTTTGGGGATCTTGGTTCTTTGGGACCATGAGGGACAGTTATGTTTCTCAACTGCTCACCAGATGGGAAGGAAATGGGCCTGGCTGTGGGTAGAATCGACCCCAGACAGAAACAAAGGGGCTGTCCTGAGACTGCAATCCTGGCCCCATCACCCCCTCGCTGTGTGACCTTGGACAAGGCACTTGACCTCTCTCTGCCTCAATCTCCCTGTCAGTAACATGGAGAGACAAACAGTCCCAACATTCTTGGGCTGCTCTTGGACTAAATGAGGTTGCCCACACCTGCCACTTGGGGTAATACTGGTACCAACCCCCCCAGGGCATGTGATGGGGCATCCAACCGAGGTCTGAGGACACGGCCGTGACAGCACAGCCCAGGGGCCCAGAGTGGGTGGAAGCCACCCGACGGTCTCCCAAGGAGAGGTCCAACCCCAGCTGAGGCCCGGGAACAATTCTGACCTCTTGGTTTCCATTCCCTCTGCTTCCTTGGGGTTGGTTTTGGTCTCCAGCGGCTGCTGTAACATCATCACAAGCTCAGAGCTTAGAATTGGCCCACCCTGCGCTAAAATCCAGACATCCACGTGCCACAAGGCTGGTTCCCTCCAAACCAGCTGGTTCCACCCCAACCCTGCCTTTCAAGGCGCCATGCCTTGGTTTGCTCATCTGTCAATGGGGCTCTGACAGCAGTGTAGCCCAATTAACACAGGGATGGTGGTTCTTAAATACAGCCCCAAAGGCATCCCCATGTCAGTTCCGGAACTGACGTTGTCCCCTCACTTGGCAGAGAGACTCACAGAGGGGATTAGTTAAGGCCCCTGAGATGGGGGTGGCCCTGGGGTCCCGGGGCCCAGGGTCCTCACGAGGGTCCCTATGAGGGGGGCAGGAGGTCAGAGTCAGAGAGACGGGAAGACGTGGCCCTGCCGGACGTGCAGACGGAGAAGGGGCCCCAAGCCAAGGCCACGGTGCCTCTAGAAGCTGGAAGAGGGGGACACAGTTCTCCTGGGGCCCCCGGAAGAGCCGGCTCTGCCCCTCTGGATTTAGGGAGGCAAGGCCTGTGTGGACCCCCACCCCCAGAACTGTCACAATCAATCTGCTGCTTTAAGGTGCCCTGTTTGGGACTGCTCCTTGCAACAGCCAGGAGACTCGCGGTCACTTAGAAGTGCCAGGCATGTGTGAGAGCTGGCACACTGGGGTGCCGTCACAGGCCCCTCACTCACCAGGCTGTGCCCACAGGGACCCTGCAAGGCAGGATCGTGGGGGGCCATGAGGCGGCGCCTCACTCGCAGCCCTCCATGGCATCCTTGCAGCTGGGCGAGGAGCACCTCTGTGGGGCCATCCTGCTGCATCCGCGCTGGGTGCTGACCGCTGCCCACTGTGAGGTGACCAGGTGAGCGGCTAGGGCCTCCAGGGGGTGGGCTGCAGGTCCAGGGTGCTCCGGCCTCCACCCGCCATCCCCACGCCTCCCTCAGCAGGAACCTCAGCACCTTCCGGGTGGTCCTCGGGGCCCACAACCTGCACGCAGCGGAGCCCACCCAGCAGGTCTTCCGCATCACCCGGGTTGTGCCCTACCCCCTCTATGATGCCCAGCTGGACATCCACGACCTGCAGCTCCTCAAGGTGGCAGGCGGGCTGGAGGGGCAGCCCCACTAAGGGAGGGTGGACTGGAAAACACCTGTGAAGGGGCTCTGGACACATCTGGGGCAGGGGCTGGCTGGGGGGGGTGTCATTATCGTTAGCACCCTGTTTATTCCTGCCTCTCTGCCTGTCTCCGTCTCTCTCGCTGTCTCTGTCCCCACCCCCTGGTCTCTCCCACCACCAGCTCCACGCCCCGGCCCGCCTCACCCTCTCTGTCCTCCCCACGCCATTGCCCCACCGGAACCTCGTGCTGCGCCCAGGGTCGCGATGCCAGGTGATGGGCTGGGGCGACACCACGGGCCACGACGATCCCCCTGTGGCACTGATGGAGGCCGCCGTGGTCGTCCAGGCCCTGGACACCTGCAATGCATCCTGGGGTGGCGCCCTGACACGAGACATGCTCTGTGCCTCCGCAGGCTCCCGGGAGCAGCGTGGCGTGTGCGGGGTGAGCCCACCGCGGCAGAACAAGCCCGGGGGGCATCAGGCACCTGCCCCAGTGCCCGCTGTGACCCCTTCACCCTCTCCCCACAGGGTGACTCTGGCGGCCCCCTCTTCTGCCGGGGCCGGCTGCAGGGCCTGGTGTCCTTCTCCTTCATGCTGTGTGGGGACTCCCGCTTTCCAGATGTCTACACCCGCATCTCCACCTATGTGTCTTGGGTCAGGGACGTGCTGCAGCATTACTGATGGGTGGGTGGGTCGTGGGGGACTCAGACCTCAATAAAGCTTCTTCCAGGCTGCAGAGGCTCCAACCTGTGTGTCCATGGGGGCCGACCGAGGCCCTGCCACCCTCCCGTTCTGAAGCCTCCTGTCACCTCCAGGCTGCAGAAGCTCCCAGTCCCTCACCCGAGGCCCAGAACAACCCACACCTGTCATTCTCTGCCAGTCTTTGGGTCACCAGAGCCTGGGCTTTGGCTGGGAACCCAAACTGCCAGATCCATGCCTCCAGCCCCACAGAACACCAGTTCTGTGGAGGGTGGTCTCTTGGCACAGGCCATGTTTTATCTCCAGTTCTTGCCAGAGGCTGGCATTCAGTAGGTGCTCAATAAATACAACACAGACAGCAATGATCACAGTGTTTTCCTGGGCCTGGCCTTCCATTGTCCTCACAGCCCTGAGGTCAGTGCTGGTTGCAGGTGGGGAAAGGGGTGGGGCCAGGACAGGCGGGCCAGGCCTGCCGAGCTACTGGACAGCCTCCCCCCACAGCCCCGAGGGGCAGCTGTGGGCTTTATGCATTGGCTGTTTACCAGCTGCTGCAGGAAGCTCCGTGCACATGGTCAGTGGGCAGATGCTGGGTAAACTGAGGCACAGAGCAGGTAAGAGGCCTCGGGGTCTCATGGCCTGACAGAGCAAGGGTTGCCCTAGTGGGTGGCCTGCTGGGACCTGCTGCCTGCCCACTGCCCTGTTTCCTGGCCACCCTGGAGTCTTGATCGCCATCCACAGCCCTGGGCGGTTGAATCATTATTTCCCAGAAGCGTACCTCAGAGCCGGCGTTGCCGGTGGGGAGTGGGGCCCCCGACCACAGCCCACAGAGGGCCGTTGGTGAGGGTGGGGTGGGGCCCTGCCCACAGCTCTCCAGGGAGACGCCAGCCTGCAGCAGCCATGGTGCCTGGGATGGGGGGTCAGGAACATCTGCTGCTGACAGTGGCTGCCGCCCTGCTGCTGCCAATGAGACCCCCAGGTGAGGACCCCTGAGGGCCAGCCCAAGCCCGCCAGGCCCCCATATAAGGGCCCACAGCCTGCTGTAGCTACTCAGCCCCCTGGAAGGCTGCTCTTCCTGGGCCTCAGCTGGCAGTGGGGCAGGAGGCCCAGCGGGGGTCTTGGCCAGGCCCAGGCCCATGTTCTTTGGGGTCCGGGCCCCCTCCTAGAACTACCCTGGGACCCTCTCTGTTCTCTGCATCTCTGTGTCTCTCTTTTCATCTCTGTCTCTGTCCACCTCTGCCTCTTTCTCCCCAAGCCTGACTCCGACGCTGTCCCTTGTCTGCACTGCCCCCAGGAGCCGTCTTCCTGCCCCTCCCCTGACACAGTCCCCCGCCCCACCTGCAGGCTCCTGGGGGGCTCGGATCATTGGGGGCCATGAGGTGACACCCCACTCCCGGCCGTACATGGCATCTGTGAGCTTCGAGGGCCAGCACCACTGTGGGGGCTTCCTGCTCCGTGCCCGCTGGGTGGTCTCCGCTGCCCATTGCTTCGCTGGCAGGTGAGCCCCCCTCCCCCCACCTGCTGCGGCCCCCAGGACACTGCCCAGGGGGTGTCTCTGGTGGGGGTGTTGCTGTGTTCCAGGCAGGGCATAGGGGGGTGGACCCAACGCCTCAACGGTGGCCCAGGATGGCCCAGGATGGGCCCTCTGGGTTGGGGCGGGCCTTCCTGACAACAAAGGAAGGGGGACAGGGCGGAGCCGCCCAGACATAAGTAGACGACATCTTTGCCCTGCTCATTCTCAGCATGTTGTGGTTAACGTTAAGTGACACTGGAGATAGCATTATGATTGAGGTGGGATTGTGTGAATACAGTAAGTACTCTATTCATTCTGAGTATGTTTCTGTAACAACTATTCACATTCACACTGGGACTCTTGGAGTGAATACCATAATCGTTGGGTGGGAATGGTAATAAACACAATTATTACGGCGAAGTGGCGTGAGGATGGCTTGGGTCACTTCACCCCCATTTCACAGAGGTGGGGATCAAGGCCTATGATGAGCAGCCCTGAGCCTGGTCTCACTTGTGTTCCCTCCTCCCTCACAGAGACCCCCGAAAGGGCCTGGTGGTGCTTGGGGCCCACACGCTGCGCACCTCAGAGTCCACACAACAGAAGTTCGGCATCTCGGCTGTCATCAGGCACCCCAACTATCAGCCTGCAACCCACGCCAATGACATCTGTCTGCTGCAGGTGAGCTTCGTGGCAGGGGGCTCTGGACACAGGCCCCGCCTGTCCCTGGCCTCCCCCATCACGATCGGACATGTTTTAAGAACGGCTGAAAGTGTCTTGTGAGCACCGGAGACAGGATACAGGTCACGTCCCCCCTCTGTCTGCCCTCTGCGCCTACCACGCTCTCCCCTCGGCTCCCGTTCGAGGCACACCCCCTCCTCACTGAGCACGCTGCCTCCAGGCCTTTGCACTTGCTGGTGCCCCAGCCACCACTCACCGCATGGCTTTGTCCCTCACCTCTGTCATGTCTCTGCACAAATGTCTCCTCCCTCAACGACCCCCCAATTCTGCAACCTGCCCCGTCTTGCCACCCCTCACCCTGTCCCACCTGTCCTGCACCCTCATCTCAGCAGCACCAGAACCACTGCCCCTTCACCTGGCCACACCTCCGGACCCTACAGAACAGATTTTATGTCCTTTATCACATACAGCAGGTGCTCAGTGTTCACGTGCAAAGAACAAATGAGACTCCAGGCCCAGAAAGACCCCAGCCTCTGCCCCTGCGGCCCTGCAAGGGGCCCGGGGTGGGTGGGGTGGGTGGGTAGCAGCTCCTCCCCGTAATGTGAGTTCCCCTCCCCGCCCACACAGCCCCTCCTGCTTGGGGGACCGCCTACCCGGAAGCTCTCACCTAGGCCCCAAATTCAATCCCACACACCTCCAGGGCCTCCGTTTCCAAGACAGAACATCCCAAACCTCCCTTCAAAGGTGGTGAGAAATGGAGAGGCATTCACATGGCAGGAACAGGTTCCTGGGCACAGGAGGGTGGTATGGTCTCACGGCAGCTCCAGAGCTGTGGTGGCAGTTGGGGCAGGTCCTGACCACAGGAAGGGGGCACAGCGGGCAGCAGCCAGAGCTTGCATGTGAGCCTCATCCGTGAAACCGCAAAGCCTGGGACCCACTGCTCCAGCTCACCCATCGCACTGTGCAAATGGAGAAACCAAGCTGGGGGTGGCAGGGATGTGCCCGAGCTCAGGCGGCGAGTACCAAAACCAGGGGCCGAGTTATTCATTCCATAACTCATTGTTGAGCACCAGCCATGTGCTGGGTATTGGGGGCATCGTCGTGAACAAACAGCTCAGGGCTGGCCCTGTAGAGCCCTCAGCCTAGTGGGGTGGCAGCTGGGTAAACCGGCCTTGACAGGGCCACATGGGAGTACACAGGCGGCACCTGTTCCAACCTGGAAGTCTTGGAAGGCTTCCTGGAGGAGTTGACATCTGAGACCAGAAGGCCGAATAGGAATGGTAATCCAGGCGGGGAGTGTGGGTGTTGCTAAATGGTGAGCTAAGAACTTGTATCCTGAAGGCCATGGGGGTGCTTAGAGCAGGGAAGGAGATGCTGATTAGAAAGACTATTTGGGCAGCTGGGAGGTGAGACTGGAGGCCTGGAGGCTCGGGATGACGGAGTCCTGGTTTGATGGGGCAAGCCTGACGGTGGGGAGCACGTGGCGGCAGAAGTAACAGGGCCCTCTGATAGCCTAGCCTAGCCATGGCTGCCTTGATTTCGCTCTACGAGGCCAGGAAGAGACCGGATGTCGCAGACGCGTAAACCGAGGCAGGAGCCGCGGTGGCGGTTCGGGATCCTAACTTCAGCTCTCCTCCCGCAGCTGAACAGCTCTGCCACGTTGGGTCCTGCAGTGGGGCTACTGGGACTGCCACGGCGGGACTCCCGGCCCCTGAGGGCCGGGGCGCGGTGCCGGGTGGCCGGCTGGGGCTTCGTGTCCAACTTTGAGGAGCTGCCACCCGGGCTGATGGAGGCCGAGGTCCGCGTGCTGGGCCTGGGTGTCTGCAACAGCTCGTGGGAAGGCCAGCTGAGTCCCGCCATGCTCTGCACTCAGAGTGGGGACCGCCGGCGGCGGGGCTTCTGCTCGGTAGGACGCTCATTTTCCACACAACCCCGCTTAGCGTATGGGGAAACTGAGGTTCCCGGCAAAGGGCAGAGCTGGACCTGGGGCCCTGGGAGGGCAGAGGGTTGCCCAGGGTTACAGGGCTGCTCGGTAGGGCTGGGCGGGTCTGGGCGCTGCAGAGCCGCAGGTTGGTGTGTTTATAGGCAGTGTCCAGCAGGGGGCAGTCACAGACCTCCAGGAAGGAGCTCCTGCTCCTGAAACCCTGTGTGGACCGATGGCTTCCCTGGTCCTGAAGCCGAGGCAGAAACAGCCTGCGAGGTTCTGTTCCAGGCAAGAGAGGGCAGTGGTTCAGAACAGAGATTCAGGAGCCCAGCTGCCTGGGTCCAAAGTCACACTGTGCCACTTCCCAGCTGTGTGGCCTTGGAAAAGTCACCTTACTTCTCTGGACCTCATTTTCTCCATCTGTAAGACTGCCACACCGGTAGTACCTACTTCATAGGGTCAGAGCTGGTGTCAGTGGACAATCAGGTGACAGGACCACAGAGGGCAGGGGATGTGGGAGGGCAGGAATTTTAGGATGAGCATTCAGGAGGCCTCTCTGAGAGCACCTCTGAGCTGTCCTGAAGGAGCCTCGAGAAGATCCGAGGGAACGCATGCTGTGCAGAGACTGGTCAGAGGGCTGCCGCGTACAGCTGCGCAGGCCGTGTGCTGCATGGCGGGCTGCAGACTCATATATTTACATAAACAGTGTCCATTAGGGGCAATAACAGCTGTCAAAAATATGCAAAAGCCCAGAAGCTGGAAGGAGTTAGGTTCTCTGCGGGTACACCGGGAAGGCTGGTGTGACTGGAACCAAGTGAGAGGAGGGCAGGCGGGTGGGTGGGGGCCTTGAAGTCTAGGATGAGGAGCTTAGTCTCTGTGGTGGGAGCACTAGGGAGCCATGCAAGGGGTTTGAGGCAGGGGAGGGTCTCAGTCAGATTTCCATCTGGGTCAGGGTCAGGGTCAGGAGGAGTAGAAGCTCCTACAGGGAAAGTGAGGCCCAGAGAAGGGACCCTGACCTCAGCTCTCCCTCCACCCCCAGGCGGACTCCGGGGGCCCGCTGGTGTGCAGGAACCGGGCTCACGGTCTTGTCTCCTTCTCTGGCCTCTGGTGTGGGGACCCCAAGACTCCTGATGTGTACACACAGGTGTCTGCCTTTGTGACCTGGATCTGGGATGTGGTTCGGCCCCCAGCCCAGCCCCCTGCCCAGGACCACAGGGTCCCTACAGCGGCACTGAGCACACCAGACACTGAACGGTGAAGACAGCTCCAGCCTGGAAAACTCTTGTGGTGGGGGCAGGGAATCCATGGGGCCCCCAAACCCTGGGAAGCCTTCTGGGGAGGGCTTGGAGGTGGGGGAGGGCGTCCGTTCCAAACAAAAAGGGACAAAATAACTGAATAAAATGCTAACCAACCAGACACGATGGTCCACCTCCACCTGCCACTCACATTCCCGAGCTACCCCTCGGTCTCAGTGTGGCTGATGGACCTGAGTGACCTCAAGCCACAACCTGTGTCACTTTGAGCCACTTGATTTGCTCCCTAGTCTGGTATGCCAGCTTCAGGCCCCGTGGCACTTCTCCATCCTCCCCTGCTGACCCCTCTGGGTTCACCCTCGCCACAGCCCACACTTGGACAGCCTCCTGGTCTTGGCACCTGCTGTGCCCCCTGCCTGGAACACCGTTCCTCTAGCTGATGCACCCACATATAGACAGGAAACCGAGACTGAGAGAGGGTGGGGTCTCCAGGTCCCCAGCGTGGAGTCTCGGGGTGTCCCAGCTCCACATGAAGCCTGTCCTCATTCTCTGGCAGATGCTTAGAACAAACGGTGGCTGGCACATACGGAGGGTTGGGTAGGTACCAGCTGGAGTTATTGTTGAGGTGTTATTATTAACTGTATCATTGCTATTGTCTCACCCCCCACACCCCCAGGCCAGGTCTCTGTTTCTGGATCCTGAACCAGGTGGCTTCTTGGGGCTGCCCTCAGACATCTTGATCCCTCCTTCCCTTCCCTGCCCTATAGAGGCCTCCTCTCTCCTCCCCGCCCCCCACCTGCCTTGGCCCTCTCCCCGGCTGTTGCCCACTGCCCGGAGGCAGACCCTGAGGACCAGAGATGGAGAGTGGCTGCCCCAGGGGTATATATATGCCCACGTCTCTCCCCTCAATGCTTCCAGAGCCCCCCACTTGCCACTGAGAGAGCACCCCAGCCCCCAGGTTAGTAATGCCCCACCACAGGGGAATGGCACAGAAGCTCAAAGGGGCAAACACAGGCCTGACACCCCACATGACTTTTAGAGTCTTTATTTCTTTGGTGAGGCAGGACCCCAGGGTGGGGGAGGTTGCCTTGGGTCTCAGGCAACCCACCTCCCCAGAGGTGCTTCTCTGGGTGTCACAGACAAGGCACTTCCAGGGGCTGTGATGGGGTGGTCCTGGACTCAGCGAGCTGGGGACCTGTGCACTGGGCCTCCCACGTCTGGGCTGAGCATTTGGCCTACACACAGTCACAGGGAGGTGACACTGACAGAGTGGAGGGAACTGTCCCAATTCCAGCATCTGGCTGGTGTCAAGGCCCCTGAGCCCTGCGGGAAGGTGAGGATCCAGCCGGGAACTGAACCTAGAGGCCTGGCCAGGACAGGCCGCATGGGACTGAGCGGTCCCGGATCCGGACCTCACCTCGGATAGGGCGGCAGACTATGGGTGCTGCTCAGACACGTGGCTCCAGAGGCCAGGTGTGCAGTGGACCCTGATTTACACCCCACCCTGGGTCAGTGGATGGGCAAGGGCTGACAGGCCCCACCAGGTCCCACCCTAAGTGGACTGGGCTCCCCCGGACAGGTACCCTGTTCCTGGTGGATGCTGACCTCTCCTTGCCTGAGGCCTGAAACAGGGGGCACGGACAGCACCCTCTCTCAGGGTACAAGCTGGGCTTTGCCAGCACACACTGGGGAATCGAGGCAGCGGCTAAGGTAAGCTCTGCAGTTCTTGGCCCGGTAGTGGCTGCTTCCTTGGCCAGCTGGGGTCTGGGCATGTTCTGACGTTGTGCACAGCCAGGCTGGGGACCACTCCTCAACCCTAAGCCCTTGTCCTAGAAGGCCGGAGGGCCTCTTCATTAATTGCTGGCAGGGAAACCCCAGCCCTCTTGATGAAGGTGATAATCAAGGATTATCCCCAAGGGAGATGGGTGGGGTGCTGGGCAGGAGGGTCCCTGGGGTGGGCGTTCCACCCACCAGCCCCGCACCCAGGTCTCCTTCCCCCAGTCCTTCCGAAATATTAGCGAGGACTCCGAGGCTCCCCTAACGGCCCCAGTCCAGGCTCTGAGGAGCGCTCGTGAGACATAAATTAGACTTTGCTGCGACAATAAATAAAACGGGGAGGCCCTGAACGCCAGGCCCAGGCCGGCCCACAGGCTCACACGAAGTTCTCCTCCTCCTCCGACTCAGCGTCCGGTTCGGGGCTGCCTGCACAGGGAGGAGGGCGCAGAGAGGCATGGGGGCGCGGCGGGGGGTTGGGGGTTGCGCCCCGCAGCCGCTCCCCGTCCCGCTCCGCACCTGCACAGCTGCCCGGGTGGCGCACGCCGATGGAGCGGCCCAGAAAGCAGGTGGCTTGGCGCAGGTGGCACGAGGACATATAGGTGACGTTATTGTTACCGCAGAGCTCCTGGCCGGGGCTAGAGGGCGCGGGGCAGGGCGCCGCGCGACATACCACGCAGTGCGCGCTGCCTGTCTGGTCCACCACGCACGACTCCGGCCGCGGGCACGCCACGTGGGCGCACGACTCTGCGGAGAGGAGCGAGCTCAGGGGGTCCCGCCCCTCACGCGGTTCCACCCGGAGTCCCCGCCCCCCATCTCGGGGCCCGCCCACACCCGGTCCCGCCCCCCGCGCCCCTCCCTGAGTCACGCGCCCGTATCCCTCACCCCATGTGAGCCCCAGAGCTTCCCCTTTCCAAACGTCGGGCTCTTTCTCACCCCTGACTCCTCAAAAGACCCAATCCAGTGACACTCCCGGGAGTGAAAAGACTCCCTTTATTAGGGTCCACGGGCGAGGGCACCACCTGGGCCTCGCCTACCTTAAGCTCCGCCCCAATCCGTGAAAACCACGGAGCACTGCGACCCCGCCCCCGCGCACCGCGGCCCCTCCTCGGGACCGGACTCGCGGGCCCCGCCCTCCCTCGGGCCCCGCCCCCACGTACTGCGGCAGCTGCCTCGGTACATGACGCGCAGGTCCGGGTGGCCGCGGCAGCGCGCGGCGCGCAGCTCGCACTCGTCGCGGTAGGTGGCGCCGTCCGAGCCGCAGACCTGCAGGCGCGCCAGGAGCCCCGCGCAGTCGGGCGCGCACTCGCAGCGCGGGCGGCCGCCCTGCATGCTGCACGCCTTGCCGGGGCCGCACTCCACGCCCTCGCACGAATCTGCGGACACAGCACGCGCGTGGGCTGAGAGGCACCCAGGCCGTAGGTCCTCGGAACCCGGCCGGGTTCGCGGCGCCCCCACGAGGGTGGGGTTGGCTCGGATTTGGGTGCGAGGCCAGCCGCGGCCCGGTGCACGGGGAGCCGGGGCAGCGCCTGGGCCGGGGACTGAAGCGGAGTTCAGAGACTCCGGGCGGGGTCTCTGCCGGAATTTGGGGTCCAGTGCCGCTGTCGGCCTGCAGCCGGGCCACACGCTCGGCTGACGTGTGTTCCCGGATTTACGCGTGTTTCTGGGAAGGTCGGCGGGGGCCCCGCTGCGTCAGCCCGAGGGCGCTCCCCACCCCGCCAGGCGCGGCCGGGAGTACGGGCGGCGCGTTCCCGGGGCTTGCCAGGACCTCCCCGGAGGAGGCGTGGGGAGGGCGGGCCGTGGGCGCCTGGCAGGGACGCAGCTCCTGGGGAAGCGGCTGCCCACCGCCCAGCCTTCTAACCAGGGTTACCTCCAAGCCCCCATTCTCAGGCAGGGAAAGGGAAGCAAGTCTGGCACGGGGAGGTCTCTCTCCGTGGTGCCTGACCCCATTCTGGTCCCGGGTCCCTTGGGAATGCGCTGTTCAACCCTCCCAGGCTCACTGCGGTCTCCCAAAACGGGGTGGGGCTGTTTTGCCCCCTTTTTTAAAAAGTTGAAAACTAGGTCTCATCACATCTGTGAGCTGAGGAGAACCGGGGGTACTTCGACATGAAAATCCAGGCCAGACCCCCGATGGACCTCGGCAGTTCTGTTGCTTGGGTTTACTCTCCAGCCCCAGTTTCCCTATGTGTAAAGCAAGGCTGATCGGGAAACCCACCTTGTGGGTTGGGCGTGAGCATGCAATGAGCACATGCGCTGGCGTAGCCCCCAATGTCTCCCCTGCCAGGGCATGTGGGCTGCACCTGGGCGCCTCCCACTCTGCCCGCCCACACGCACATCTGGAAACGCTCCACCCGGTTGGCTGCACGCAAGCGGGAAGGGAAGTTGGGGTGGGGGTTGAGTTCTCATCCCCAAAGCCAGATGAGGTGTGTGTGCAGGGTGGGTGGGGGGTTCTGGACCATCTCATGCCCAGGCCAGGGACATTTTTAACTTTGTCCTCCTCCCAAAAGCCAGAGGGGGTTCTGGAGGGAGCCAGGGCACATAGCAGTGAGTTCAAGACCACCCAGCTAGGCTGATCTGGGATTAATCACATCCCCGCAGCCAGCCGGCTCCCCATCTCGGCCTTAGGGACTGCAGCCCTCAGCTCCAGCCTCCTCCGTTCCTCTGCCCTGACCCCACCCCCAAGGCCTAATCCCATACCTTGGTCTCCTTTGATGCTCTCCCCAACCCTTTCTGCAGCTGGTAAACTCCTAATCATACCCCAACACCCCAGCTCTAATGCCCACCTCCTTTAAGTCATGACCCCATTTCCCCTCTGGGTCCCTGTGGGTTCAGCCCTGACTCCAGAGGCCTGGGACCGTCTCCAACCCCTTGCAGCCTCCAGGGAAGAGAATTTGTCTTGATTTACTTATTCTGCCCGCCAAGAGCACCTACTCTGATGGAAGAGGCAGCATTTCTCAGGGCAGGGTCCAGAAGGCACACGTTTGTTAAAATGCAGCTGCATACCCACCACAGACCCCTGGAATCTGCAGCCTTAAGGGCAGATAAGTATCTGAGAAGACAGTGTGGCATCACAAACCCCTGTGGCCAGTCAGGAAGCTAAGAGTGAGGTGTGAGCCTTCCACCACATGGGATGCAGGTGGGAAAGGACATACAGGAGAGGGCTTGGCGTAAGCAAAGGCCTAGAGGCTGGAAACCTGTGGGGTCCTGAGCTTCATGAGTCCTCAGCTGAGGGAGGCTATGCCTGGAAACCCCAAGTCCGCACTCCTCTCTGACTCCGGGATCCCCTCCACA